ATTTTTTTCCTGCAGAACCAATAAAGGCAGAGAAAGAGAGTCCTGTTATTGAAGAAAGACTCACCTAATCAGAGGTAATTTTCAGCATACATTTTTGTAGCCTTTTCCAGTAAAAAAATTGAATCCTCTTCAGTTTGGAGGTAGGGAAAGGTTATCCTCAGGCAATCTGATTGTGCTGCTGAACATCTGGACACATCCAGGTGATACCAGCAGTGGTGGAGAGGGGAGAGGTACATTCAGACCACCCTGTTGCAAAAAGTACTGAATGCAGAACACAAACTTTGCAACACCACAACAGGAGTGGAGTCTGCCTTAAAATCCCTTTTGGGGATGGGTGAAAGATGAGGACATGGGTAATGACAAACGATGGATGGCTGGAATCAGCACCAGCTCATTGCCAGCCTCTGAGACACCTCCAATAGGGACATGTGGTTTTTGACTGCCTCACTATGCACAATTTCTGCCTTTAAGTCCAAGCTGAGCCATGAGGAACAGGGCGTGAGTCCAGATTCAGCCCCATCTAAGCCAACAGCAACAGGAAGTTATTGCCACCTGCCAATGCCTTCTGACCTGCAAAAATGGGTTTGTTAGAGTTCAGTACCCTTTTAAATGAGTTCCTGGACAGCACACAAAGAACCACTGTAGCATTTGGCCTTGGACAGCACTGGGTGACAGCTAGTGGGGGCGATCTGGGGGTACCAGGATGTGCCCCATGTGTTGGGTGCTCTCTGCTCAGACTTGCACCACAACAGCTGGAAATCCATAGGCAATATCCCAGGCCCATTCCTGGCTCCAGAGATGAGCAGGGACCAGGTCTCAGCCTGCTGCTCTCAGCCTCCCAGACAGCTGCCCCCTCTCACACTTGGTCTGTGATTCATGAGCACCTCCTGCTCTCCTCCCTGCTGCTTTGTCACCACTATTTCTGTGCATATTTGATTGATGTCAAAGGCAGGCTCAGGATCTTTCTGTTCTTGCTTTTCACCATTTCCAGCAAGAGAAAAAGATTAATCCTGTCTGTCTGAGTTATTACCCTGATACCTGAAGGCCTATTTACACTGGGAGGAGGATGCTGCCCTCATCCCTGAGTGTCTACATTGCTGTCAGAGATGCTCCTGCATCACCTTGCTCCAGCAAAGAGAGGCTGTGGACTCCTGCAGCAACACAGCTCCAGCTTGGCCCTGGGATGGAACTGAGCCACAAGATCAGGTGCCCATAGTCATAGTCCTGCCCAGCAGAGGAGCATCCTCGTGGGTCACAGTGGAAGTTCTTCTCATACTGCACATCATCCATGGCCAAAGCCAAGTGCTGGGGTAAGAGCAGGTGTGTTCCTCACCTGCAGCTATTTGTGGCTTTGGGAATTGGTGAGGTTGAGGTAGTTTCTCTGTGCACTGACTCTCTGAATTTCCCTCCTACATGGTTATCTGGTCTCACTCATACTCCCACAGATGCAGCTGGATCTCCTTGAACAACCTCTGGGGACACCAAGCACCATCCTGACCTCTCCCACACCAACAGACTGCATGATAGATTTTATTAGATAAGGCTGAGCTCAACCTCTGTGTGAGCCTTGGCTTTGGCCCCAGGGGCACCAGTTTCCTATTTGGGAATACTCACATTTTCCAGCAGAAGCAATGAGGAAAACACTGGTCCCTCCTGGCTTCTCTGCTCCCACCCTCTGCTCCCTTGGCAGCAGCTGAGCTGAATCCCTTTTCTAACAGACAGCAGCAGGGTCTGGTCAATTAGTCTGTAAGGCAATACCTGAAGGCAAGATCTGGGTTAGGCAAGGATTTAGCCAAGATTAGCTGTGTTAACAAAATCTTTAATTCAACCCTGCAGCAGATTCACTCTAGCTGTGATGGCTGGAGGCATCCAGCCCGGCATTGAACAGGAAAGCAGCTGGCTGAGCCCCACGCTGTTTTTTGGGCCTACCTGGCACTTTGAGAGGTGATTTATGATGTTGAATTGCATCCCCATTCCTCTGTTTAGCCCAGAAATAACCTTTGTGCCTTTAAAACTATATTAGAGAGTGAAGGGAGTGGGGGGGGGGGGGGGGGGTGGCTGAGGGAGAAGGAAAAGCAGTGAAGTCTTTGTGGCTGTATTCAAAACTATAGAGATAGGAGCTTCAGCTCTGCAGCATGGATGGGGAGCAGGAAAGAATTCTCCTTTGCTTTTAGTTATTTTTTTAGCTAGCTGGGGCAGAATTCCCTGGACTGTGGCTTTTTCTTTTCCTGGAACTGTTCAAACCTGCTCTGTACCAAAACCCAGGAAAACTACTGGGAGCTCACACCTGTGGCCCACCAGGGCCCAGGATGCTGCATTCCGGCACTGGAGGGACTGACAGACTGAGTGAGCTGAGAAAGACCCACAGATGACCCCCTCTGACCCACAGAAGGACTTTCTGAATTTGCCATCTCTTCAGAAGAGGAAGAGGTTTTATTGTTTAATTTTTTTTAAATGCTTGTGAATACTTTGCTTGTTAAAGAAACAATTTTTTCCACTTTTCTTGAAGTAGATCTCTTTCCTGAACAGGTCAGAGGAAGAGATGCTGAATTTTGCCCTTCAGGAAATCATCCCTTTGGAAGATCTCTTCCAAATTTGTCCCAAACAAGGACATGAGCAAAGTCAGCTCTCCCTTCAGTGCTGTTTTCTGCTGCTAATGTTCTGGGAAAAGGAGAGCTGAACCATGGATTAAGCTTTAAGCAGGGTGGACTAAGTGTTCCCATGCAGGGGAACAGGGGACGGGAAAGCCCTGGGGGTGCAGGTAAGAGTGTAACTGCCAGGGCTGGGAGGTGATCCAACCCCCAAACAGCACATCCTTAATGCAGAGGGAAAGGCAGGTTTTCAGGAGCATTGGGTTGATTCTGGAGCTGAGCTCCGGGAACAGGAGCCCTTCTCAGAGGCAAGTCCCAGAGCTTTGAAATCAATTACCACTGAAATTCACGGAATATTGGGAAATGAGCCAAGGCAGCTGTTTGGAATCAAACACCTGCACTAGTGACTCTTGTCTGTAGTAAATTATTTTTGGTGCAATTCCTTAGAAACAGCTCCTGCAAGCTCAACTCTATGTCCAGGTGTTGGAGGCTGATGCCTCATCTCATGGACCAGGGGAAAGCTCTGTGCTGGTGCCCAAGGGTGCGACGTCCCAAACACTGCCCTGTGGCAAAGGCATTCCTGTGTCCTTCCCACCACAGCTTCTGGATGCATTTTAAATTAATTTTTTCTTAAGTTACACTGGTCCCACTTAAGAGCACGGGTAGCATGACTGGAGCTCTGTCTTCAAGCAGCAGCTTCCTTTGGAAAACCACCATGGAAAAATGGTGATTAAATTGGAACAGTCCTGAACAACTTAATCTTGGGAGCATCACACCTCTTACAGAGTGTCAGCATGGATATGTACCCATGTGCTATGAACTACTGGGCATTTACTGCTACAGGATTCCGTGACAGAGGAACTTCTTTGAGGAAAGGGGAAAAGGGGAGTAAAAAAAGGAACAGGAAGAAAAGAGGAGGAAGATGGGGAAGTTGTTGGATTGATGATCTTATGGTTCTTTTCCAACCTAAATTATTCTATGATTCTATGATTATGCTTGTGGAATCAATTCCAGTTTAATCCAATTTGTGACCAGCTGGTGGACTCAGTGAAAAATAGGTAATAGGACAAAAATTAGGTAGGAAAAGCTCTTGTAACTAAATGCATATAGTATAGCTAGGGAAGCACTCTCCTGATAGAGAAGAAGATAAAGGTAAATTAAATCCCTGCAGCCTGCTGCTACTTTTCACTTTGAAAAAGACATTGCATTAAACACATTTGGCATTTGTAGCAGATGGAGATGTTTTTCTGGGTGTATAACTGTCAACAAAGAAACAAAGGATAAAAAAATTCTCATGGGAGTGTGTGAATCAACAAATGTTCATGCTTGAGTCTAAATCTCTTCCCTGGAAGTGTCCAAGGCCAGGTTAGATGGGGCTTGGAGCAACCTAGGATAGTGGAAGGTGTCCTGGACCATGGCAGGAGGCTGGAACTGGATGGGCTTTAAGGTCCCTTCCAACCTAAAGCATTCTGTGAGTTGCTAATTCTAAATCATTTCCATCCTAGGCAGGAGAGGAGCAGCAGCCTTGGGAAGAGCATTTCTCTGGTTGTGATGGGATGGCCCAGTGTTCCTGCTTCTTCTCTTTCCTGCATTACCATCTGCCTGAACAGGCTGATTCCACATGTTTTAGACATAAACTTCATCCATAAGGAATGGAGAATGGGGAATTTGAAATGAGCAGGGGTAGTAAGTTAATAAATTCAGTAAATACTAGAGGAAGCTAAAGGTAGCAGAAAAATGTCCTTAGGATCATGCTACACATGCTGAGTCTGGCTTTCTGCTCCAGCTCCTATTTATCACCCAACTAAGAGGTGTTTAAATGCTCTGTTACTCTGACCCATATCTCTCTGCAGGCCAAGAAATCCTCCACACATAAAACATAAATTCTCAAAAGGCTTTAAGAGGCTCGGCTTTTGAGCAGTGGCATGGTGTGATTTCAGATTCCTGCAATTTGTTGTATTAAATCTGCTGTTAAAGACCCTGCAGCATCACTGGCCTTCTCCTGCCTCAAGGAAGGGAAAAGCCAACACAAACCAGCCTGACAATAAACACTGTGCTGTCCCAGTGCAGACAGTCTCTGCCTGCAGCACAATTTCTCTCAGCTGTCAGCAAAGTTGTCTCAGTTGAGAGAGGGGATTGTTCTGCTCTGCCCTGGGCTGAGGCAGCCTCACTTCAAATCTGGAGGCAGTTTTCATCACAGCAATATAAAAAAGATAAAAAAATTATTAGAGAGTATCCAAAAGAGGGGCATGAATATGGTGAAGGGTCTGGAGGGGCCACACAAGGATTAGCCAAGGATGCTTGGGCTGTTCAGCTGGAGCAGAGGGGGCTGAGGGCAGAGCTCAGTGGGGCTGCAGCTCCTCCCCAAGGGCAGCTCTGATCTCTGCTTGGGACAGGGACAGGAGCGAGGGAACGGCTGGAGCTGGGCCAGGGCAGGCTCAGGCTGGAGATCAGGAAAAGGTTCTTCTTTCCTGGGCTGCTTGGTACTGCCCAGGCTCCCCAGGGAATGGGCACAGCCCCGAGGCTGCCAGAGCTCCAGGAGGGTTTGGACAGCGCTGCCAGGGGTGCCCAGGGTGGGATGTTGGGGAGTTTGGGCAGGGCCAGGAATGGGACTAAACGATTCTTGGTGGACCCTTCCAGCTAAGGCTATTCTGTGATTCTATTCTGTGGTTGCCTTGTTGAAGCTCTTACTGGCAGAGCAACCAGGTAATGTCTCTCTCCCGCCCCGTGCTCATAGCCTGCATCCCAAAGCATGCCAAGCATCCTGGGAATGCAGGGTGAGAAGGAAGGGTCAGTGTTTGGCACAGCCATGTTCACCAGCTGCCTGGTTTGAACAGAGGGTTGAACACAGCACCTGTGGCTGCTCTGAGACAGGGGCATCACAGGGCTCTTCCCACAGCTTGCAGGGCTGTTGAGGCAGCTTCAGCCTGCAAGTACCAAATCACTTGTCCAAGACCTACTTTTGTTTGCCGGTGGAGATGCTCTTAAATAATCTTGACTTTTCCAGGTGACACCATGCCATGTGGCTGGGGTGGTAATGCTCCAGCTGTGCTCAAGGGACCAGGCTGGTCTTTCTCAGATGCACCATCCTCAGGGAGCCCCCTCTGAGAGCAAACCAAGTGGCCAGAAGTGATGCTGCTGATGTGGAGACTCTTGCACTACGAGGGCTGGATGTGGGTGTGAGCATCCGATGCCCTCCCCAGCAGTCAGAATGCTGAATTAATGTGATGCCTTTAATTTTACAGGTGTGCAGGCAGGGGTCTCCCAGAAGCTTCCTACCAAGCTGGAGTGACTTCATGGAGATGGTCTTTGCATCTTAATGACAATTGAAAACCTGATTTTTCTACACAGAATTAATGGACTACCCGGGATGCAGCAGGAGCTGTGTAAAACTGCAGCTGGTTGCGATCCTATGAGGAAATCCCATCTGATCCCACTCCAGGTCTCCAAAAGTCTCCTTGCTGACTCTTGCTCAGGCCCTCTGAAATTTCTGTCATCTCTAAGTTCCCCCTGGCTTTGCTGCTGCCCCTCCCAAGTTTCCATCCCATCCCAAGACTCCCTCCTTTGCTCTGTGAGTCACCCAGGCATTCCCAAACGTAGCATTGGATGCTCCACACAGAGCTCAGCTAGCTCAGACAGCAATAAATACTCCAGACACTTACTTCCATCAATGAGTGCTCATCCTGCCTGTGTGAAGGAATTACAGTGCAGTAAAAGCCTCCAGGACTGGGATTCTCCTTTATCAGGCCCTCCTCTCCCCAAAAGTGTAAGAGGAGCTGTCTGAGCTGCCTAAACTCACTGAGACGTGTCAGTGTATCCAGTGCTTTGAAAAACGAGCAGGTGCCTGGCTCCTCTGGCAGGAGCCTGCCTAGCTGTTGGTGCTTGGCTGCTGCAGGTCTGCAGCCAGCCTGGCCTCTTGTTTCTCATTTTGAGCCTGACACCGGTTTTGTGTTTCTTGGAGGCAGCCCTGGAGATAAAAATGTGACAGTGCTGTGGTTTTTCTCTGTATTCATCTCCCTGGAGCTGTCACAGCCAGGAGAGCCTGGCAACACAGGCACTTCCACCCAGGATGAGCAGCCTTGCACTGGGAAGGTGTTTTCTCCTATTTATTCCTTTATCCTCAAGCAGTTGCCAGTTCTTGTGCACATCATCCCTGTGTTATCCTGGCTGCTGCTCTTTCAGTGGGAGCTTGGTCTTGGAGCTGCGTCAGGGGAAGTTTAGGCTGGATATCAGGAAAAGGTTTTTCCCCCAGAGGGTGCTGGGGCACTGCCCAGGCTCCCCAGGGAATGGTCACAGCCCCAAGGCTACCAGAGTTCCAGGAGCTTTTGGACCCAGAGATGCACAGGGTGGCATTGTTAGGATGTCTGATGTAGGGCCAGGCATTGCACTCGATGATTCTTGTGGGTTCCTTCCAACTCAGGGTATTTCATGATTCACTGACCTCTGGTGATGCTTCAGGATCATCCAGAAGCTGCATTTCTCCTCCCCTCCCTCCACTGCAGCAGGAGCTGCTGCAGTGACACAGGACAGTGAGTGACACAGGACACAGCAGACCTGCCACTCTGTTGAGAAACCCTCTGATCAATGCTGAGGTGCACTGGTGTGGCATGAATATGCCCCAGAGAAGACCATGGCATGCCTTGAGTCTCCCTCCAGCTTTTCCTCCATGAATGAGAGGCTTCACCAGCAATTTTCCTTCAGTTGAAAGGACCAGAAGGGAGTTTTACAGATTAATTAAACCCCCTAATTTTGTAAGAATTTTAGTGTAGGTGAAAGCAATTTAATAGAGAAAAAGGGAATGGGGTCACACCTCCATGACTTTCCCAGCATTCAATATTTGCTGAGAAATTCCTTTCATGGAAGGCAACACAGTAATAAGCACCTTGCACTTCAATTTCCTCATGGATCCATGTGAGCAAACCTCACCTTGCCTCTCCTTTTTAGTTTTGAGTAAATGAAAAGAAAATCTCTCCAGCTCTGAGATACTGAGGTTCACTCATAAATTTTCCATTTGAAGGGAATTGAGGCTCTCACAGCTGCTGTGGCCCATTTTTCCATGTCACGCTGTCTGTGCTATGCATGCCAAGCTTGGTGCCAACAGTGGTTTCCATCCCCTGCTTTAGTTTTGCAGGGGAAGGATTGGAGAGATGGAGAAGATCAAGGAATGAGAGTGTTTAAATCAAGTAACTCCTCACAGGCAAATCAGCAACTCCACAGGTTAAGTCCACTCTTGGGCAGTGAATCAGTGAAGAAAGAGAGAAAGAGGATCCAGATGTGGCCAGGAACACCAAGGACTTCAAAACTTCATCAGAAGCCATGGGGAAAGGTAGGTCCAGCTGAGTCCAGCAGGCAGAAGACACTTTAGTCTCTGCATTTCTCTCTTCCCATTGAATTTTTGATTTTTTTTTTTTTAATTTAAAAAAATTGTTTTATACTGCTGCTGTGGAGAGATGCCACATTAGGAAGCTGCCTCCTCTTGTGCATTTCTGCTACCCAAAACAGATGCCTTGCCAATATGTCCCGTCTTGAGATCCTTTCTTGGGCTTAGGGAATGTGAAACCAACTCAAATTAACCCATAAGTCACTGTGCAGGAGGAACTGGGATGTGGAAGAACTTGCCAGGGATGCTCAGCTCTCACCCTACCACAGCCATGAGAACACACGACCTGTAGACAGTGGTGATGAATACACAGCCCCCTTCCAGACTACATCTCCTCTAGGACTTCTTAAAAATAAATCTTAACTGAAAACATTAAATACTAAGAAGAGTTTTGAGATTTTAAAATATTCCTTGGAAATACTTTCATGATTTTGGTTCCAGGCCAAAACTTCACAGGTTTTCAAAAACTGAAAGGTGGACACTTTGCCAATAAAGTATCGCTTGGGCTTTTGTTCTTCCAGTGGGAAAGAAAAACAAGAAATACTTTATTAAGGAAGAAAACAGTAATCAATCCCAAAATGAAAAAAAAAAAAAAAATATATTTGACTGAGTGTTTTTTATGAGCCCTGACTAAATTTTCCTTTTATTGTAGGAAAAAGATGATAGTGAAAAGAGAAACACCATCAAGCTGGCCATGGCATCAAAGGATACAATTGTATAATGTTATATGGTACATGAATAGTATTGAACTGCTGAAAAAGTTCCACTCCCTTGGGTAAAGGAAGCAGTGCAGATGCTTTTTAATGTGCATCTCTTTGGAAACAAGATTGGCTGTTGAGTGGAGCAGGGAGAGCCTGCAGAGCGGGAGGTATTAGGAACAGACACAGAGAACATCAGCTCAACTCCAAAGTCCCCATTAATAAAAGCTCCTACATAAACACATATGTGACCATAAATCCATACAGGTATTGATTTTCCTTTGCAAGCTGAGTGCTTTCTCCTGGCTAATGAAATGCAGCCCCTTCCTTAAAGAGAGGTCACAGTGTGGAATACTCATGAAGATTTAATGGGATGGGAAAATAAATAATGCTCCTCTGAGGGAAAATACATCTGATCTGCCCTGGTTGTACACACTGGAAAATGTCTGTCTCAACCTGGAAACAGGAATTCAGACAAAAGCATTTTGTGTTATGAGCAGTGCTGGCACATGCTGATCTGTGTAGGCCTTCTGGTGGAGTTTGTCAGTCTTCCCTAAAATCCAGATATACTTTTATTTTGTCCTTCAAGCTTGAAATATTTTGCTGTGATATTTCAAAATTGCATGTTGTAGATCCCTCCCAGAAGACTGATTTCGATGGAAATTTACTTTTGAAAGGAATGAGAGGGAGGTGTCTTTACAAACAAAATATGGGCCTGCTAGTAGATAAACCCAGATACTGACAGGTGAAAGAAGCAATGGGTGGGACCGTATATTTCATAGGAATTCCACTAATTGACACAGACTGTTGCTTACCCAAGGCCGTGCTAAATTCCTGGAGTTAGAGAAAAAGAACAGAGATACAAAGAAAAAGAAGGGTGGGTCAACATTAGGAGGTGGTCTGTATCAGGCCATTTGGGAATTCTGTACCTCTCAAGTACCTCAGGTGATGGGGAAGGAGAGAGGGAAATGTGACTGGAAAGTGAGGATAGAAAGGAGGCTGCATGCTCTAGCAATTTGAGAGACCCCATGGGAAATGCTCCATAGCCTCTCCCTTTATTCAAATAAAGTTATGGAACTCTTCTGTCTCCATTTTGAACATCAATGTCTGCTGTTTGTGGATTAATTTTCTTGCCACTTTCAAAGCCATTTTTTAGGTTGGGTTTGTTTTGCATTTTCTTGGACTCTCATCAGCTCTCATCCACCGAGGAATTCCTAATCCAAGAACAGAGTAAGTGATGAGGAAGGAGGTAAAGAAACACTTTTACTTGACTGAGAAATTTAGTCTAGTGCAAGGTGTCTTGGTTTGAAAGACGGGTGTCTTCCAAGGAAGGCAAGAACCTTCCTTGGAATAGAGAATATGACCCCCCTCACTCTGAATTATTATAACTTCGAAATTAAGGGGCATTCAGGCAAAGATATAGGAAAATAATAACAATTTTTAGTAGTATGTATATTGCAAGGCAAACAAACAACAATAACGGCAGCAACAACAAGCAAAAGAAAAAAACAAAACCAGAAAATCCAATAAAGTCTGTTCCCTGCTCTTTCAGCATTTCCCCTTTGGTGCAGTTCCAGGCACAGCCAGCAGGGGCGCTGCTGGCTCCTGGCCGGGCAGGGTGGGTGCAATGATTCCCCCGCGGCTGCAGGGGGCGCTGTGGCGGAAATTCGGGGACCACACGGTAATGCCACACTGGCCAAGACGGGAACGGACGGAGAAAGGACTTGCTTTACAAATGTCTCAGTTTTGAGACAATTTTAGGAGGAAAATTCTCTGGAATGAACATCTTGTCTACGGATTTGGCACTCTTGCTCTCCCACAGATATGAAAGGAATATTGGAGGGAAGTGAAAAATCCTGTTTATTGAACAGACAAGAGTACCTGCAGGGCACGGGAGAAAAAAATGAATAGTGTTGAACCTCCTGTCTACAGAGGAAGCTGGTGGATTCAGTGACACTCCATAGGCCATTATGTCTCCCTGGAGGGGGGATTGGTTTGTGGAAGAGATAAAGAAAACTGCCCAATTAACAGAAAATAACTGCCACACCTCTAACAGATGCCAAATATAATACATATTGCCTTGCAATCTAGGACAAAAATTATTGGTGGATTTTTGTACAGAGGTCCAGTATGGCTTTTACCCCCGCCTACCATATCTACAGGGTTGCTGCCTGCAGCTGGGTTATAATCTTCTCAGTGGTGAGTACAGGGGCCAACCTGGTCTTGCCCTCTGGTTCCCATCATTCTCCAGTTTTAAGTGAATAATTTTAACAATTTTCACTGTTCCTACCCTTAACGGATATTTGTAATTTTAATAGGACAATTATATTAATGACTAATACAATTTAAATTTTCCATTCAAAATGTTAGTTAAACAGTCATCTAAAGCACGTAGAGTAGTCCTGTGAGGCTTTCACTTGTCTTTCACAAAGTACAGCAATGGGGAAAAACACTAGTCTATCAATATACAAGAATGTGTTCACACATTTATAAGTTCTAACAAGTCTACAGCAAAATTAAGACATGCGGTAAGAATAGAAATAACAGCAGTTTGCATGGGCTGGTTTATATTCCTGTTATAAATTAAGTTGAACTCTACATATTGTAATAGAGGGAAAACACAGGGAGTTAGGGGCTACTCTGCTCGGTAGAGCTCAGTAGTGATACATACACATAGACACACACACACACCTCTGTTTTCTCAGGTGGGACAGCAGCCGGATGCACAGAGCTGTGTTTCTGGGTATGCTCAGCCCATGTCTACTCGTAGGTGTACGTGCAGAACTAGTACACACACAGGTACCTGTTTACTAGTATAGAGCCTTGGCGTACAGAAGAACTTGTCAGCAGCACACACCTGCACACACACACGGAGCTGTGCACGCTCAACTTGTATATGCCAGCACACGTGTGCTACAGAGACACTCACTTATGTAGTCTCTCTCAATGCTCTACATGTTCACTAGTATGAGACTTGCTCATACATAGAACTTGTGTACATTAACACAAACGTATAAATCTGTTCACACTAATATGTGTAATGTCATCAACACACATATCTCACACAGAGCTATGCTCACATTTTCAGAGCCTGTGCACACTCCCAAACACAAGGCTATGCATAAACGTAGTCACACCTGAGAGCAGGTAATTAAACACACATGTATATAGTAATCCACACAACACGTGTACACCGTGGTACTTGTGTGTGTGCACCCAGAGCTGTGCACACTGGCACATACAGGTACTGTATGTGCAGACTCGCGCACCCTGGTACACATGTACACATAGATATGCCCTGGCACATACATGTAAAACACTCCCCCAGAGTTCTTCTGGACGGAGAGTAGTAGGACATTTACTGTTTGTTACCACCCTGTCACTTCTAGGCAGTATTTTACCTTCTGTGCCTTTGAGGTGGAAACAGACAATGTTGTTTTAAAGGAAAGGTTAAAGAAAGACTGTGTTGGATTCTTGTCTCCTGTTTCTTTCCCTACAATGGCAGGAGGGTACAAAATTGAGTACTTTTTGTTGTTCAAGTACTTTGTGCCAATCAAGCCTATTTCCTAGAGGCTTGATTGGCACAAAGGAGAGGTAATTTATTTAGATTGTGGAAATTTGGACAAGTACTTCTCTTACAAAGAATAATTTCAGCATAACAAGTATAAAAATTTTGGTCTATCTCCTTCATAAGGAAAAGACATTTCTCCTTTGAACTAGAGAGAAAGGCACTGAAAAGCGAGAAAACAAGGTATAGCACTGGCTGTCACCTGTTCTCAGAATGATGAAAATACTGAGGCACTTTCCAGTAGATGAGTTAGTCAGAAGGAGAGAGAAAGAAAGAAGAGGAAAAAAGACAACAAAAGAAGAAGCTTTGCCTTCTTCTCGGAAAATAAAAGCAAATCATTAGCTTACACTCTTGGAACACCAGTGGAAGCAGCTGCAGAGCTGCTCACATGGTGCTCTCATGTTTGTGCAGTTCCATGCTGGTGAACATTGCAGGGGAGTCTCCGCAGCCTGGTGCCCCCAGGCCAGTCCCACCAGGCATAGCTGCCCCTGGCATCCTTGAGTCTCCACGGGCAGCTCCATACAGGTGTGTTACGGTGAGCTCCTGGACACCCTTTTGTCCCCCCTTTCCTAGGGCCTCTGTGGCTCTGATCATGATAACCCCTGAATCCTCCCTCCTGCCCCAACGGGGTTGGCGGGGAGCCAGGAGTGCCCACCCTGTCCAAAACCTATATAGACCCCTGAAACTTCCTGCTCTTCCTCTTTTGCCCCGCTCTCCATGGACACCACAGAATAAAGAGAGCTGTTCCAACACCCTGGGTAAGGAGCCTCTTCTGTATACCTTTCCCTCTCCTGCTATTTCCTCCCCTCACAGCCCCATATCTCTGAGCTAGTCGGATTCATTCGGGGGGCTGCGTGGAGGGGGGGAAAACCATAGAAATAACACAGGTAAGCCCATGGTGCTGGGGTCACCCCCCAAGAGGCACCTACCAGTTGTGCATTCTGCACCCCAAGCAGCTGCCCCCTTCCTGTCGAGCTGGCACTGCACCCCCCCGTGTCCCTACTCCGCGTCTGCTCAGCTTCATACTGGTGGGTTGCGGAGAAGCCCCTGCACAACCAGGAGTTTTCAACTCTCAGCAGAGAGGTCTTCACGCAGAATGCGTCCCACAGCACCACTGCCAGGCTAGTGACCTCTGTGGTACACAAGGTCCTCGCACGACCAAGCCCACCCCTGGTCCTTGGCGGTCCCACATGCGAAGCGCCCTGTGTGCCCCGCCGTGCCAAGCAGCAGCCTCTCGCTACCTGCGGCTCCACGCCTCCGAATCTCTCGGTCCCTGAGAGTGTGGCCCCCACCGTCAGCAGCCCGCACTGACAGACCGATGGCTCTGGGTTCCAACGCCCTGACCCCTAGCAGCACCAAGCCCAAAGGCTCTTGGCGCCTGTGGCTCTTGCTGCCAGCAGCCCTGTGCCTCCAAACTCCCCTGGTCCATGAGCGCAGCCTTCACCACTGGCAGCCTGGCACTGGCAGACTGGCGGCTCTGGGCTCCAGTGTGTCTGATGGCTGCAGTCACCCTCAGTGGGGTTGGAACCGCTGAAAGTCACCACACCAGATGCTGCTGGTCTGCTACGCCCATGCAGGCCCACCAGTCCCTGGCTTGGAAATCCTGGGCGTTTGGTGGAAGTCTTCCCAGTCACTGGCGGCAGCCCTCTTGCTGCCCATGGCCATCCGTCACCTCTGGGCACCATTACCCACGTGACACCCTGATCTCCCGGCTCCACAGGAGAACTGCAGCAGACCCCACGCCCCGGCCTCGGGACACCTGCACCTCAGCCAGTCTCCGACCGCTAGCAACACTACGTTAATCTTGGCATTGTGCCCCTGCCAGCCTTTCCCATCCTCATGGAGTCAGCGCATATCAGAAAATTGCCGCACTGAGCAAGGCTGCAAATACAACTCTACTCAGACTTGCCTCCCCCCACAGTGCCAACTTCCTTTGTGTGCCGTGGGTTGGGGAGACCCTGTCCACCTTCTCCCCCTCTCTGGAACACTCCACCACTGGGTGAGTCCGCTGGACTCTCCTACTTGGCGCCACCAAGTCACTGCCATTAGCGGCGGCACTCCCTCTCACACCTCGGCTGGCAAGCTTTGGAAGTTATCGCGCTAACCGCGCACCAGAAGCTCACCACGCTGAGTGTGCCGCTGCTCCACGTGAGGCCGTCATGCAGTCTCTCTTCACCTGCCTCCCCCCTGCCACCCACGGCTTGGGAAAGCCGCCGTGACTACTCACCTCAACACAAGCACCTTCTCCACTGAATGACAATTTTTGCCATCAGTCTAACACCCTCTAAATCTGATGACACTCAATCTGATGTTTCCAGAAGCTCGTGGATCTCCATAACTCTAATATCTCTCTATCACATGCATTCTGCCAGCCACAGGGTCCTCGCCTTCTACAGAATCCCTGTATCCATCTTCTATGCATCCCACCTTAAAATGTCTAACCGCCCACTTGTCCTTAAGCTCCAATGGATTTCCAGAGAGGGTCCCATGTATGACTTCCTGGAGCTGGCTTTTGTACACTTGGATTACAGACCAAAAATTTGGCCAAAATGATTATGAGGATATTTTAAGTTCTATATGTACCCCAAGCACATTCCCAAAATTACCCCACTCTTACTTCAAGCATACATGCACTCAAATACTCACAATCCTCTGGATTTGCAGTTTTCAGGTATTTTTTTTCTTCTTCTTCCCCTTTTTCTTTTTCATTATTTAGTCCTCTGTTGTCGCCGGTGCTGACCTGCAATCACTGATGGTCACAGGAGAACCTAGTGGAGCTGCTGAACTTGCATCAGAGCACCCTTCTCCTTCGAGATCTCCTGCACCCACAGAGACAAGATATTGATCCCAAATGAGTCCCCATTTTGTGAGAAATGACTGCTCGATTAAAAAATGTAAAGGGTTTATTAAACCTTAACAAAAATACA